ATATATACATATATATATATATATATATACACAGTTTACCTGAACACAGTCCTATTTCCTTGAATCTCACCCTATTGATCCTTTCATTTGCTAGAGAGCTCCCTGGCCTGTAGGGAGGCTTTGGGGCTGGGATGAGAAGGGTCCATCATGATATTTACCGGAAATGTTGAGCTTTGCATATAACTTCAACACTCTTTATCTCTAGGTCTATTGAACATTTTGGTATGTAGTAATGGATTTCTTTGTCATATTCTCACTTTGAATTGCACATGCTTGTGACGATTTTAAAATGTGTGGAGTAAAGAACTTACAATAGGCATTGTATCAACGACATAGTAGACTATGGGGTTTATTTATTAAAGGCAAACAGGCTGTTCACGTTTAATTTGCACTTTTCAGGGGTGGTTTCCCTTTAGCTTGGTGAATGGGGTGAAATTTCACTTTGCAAAGTATACCGTAACTGGTGCAAGGAAAAGGAAAAACACAGAGAGGAATTTATCAAAACTGGAGCAGACAAAATCTGGGGCAGTTGCCCAGGGCAACCAATCTGCACCTCCCTTCAGTTTGTTCAGCTAAATTTAAAAATGAAAGAGAAAAGCTGATTGGTTGCAATGCACAGCTGCTCCAGATTTTGTCTGCTCCAGTTGTGATCAATTTCCCTCACAGTATTTTTGCTTGCACGTGACTGGGTGATTGAAGTGAACAGAACTTCCCCACATTTACTAAACTACGGTGAACTTCCTCCTGCTATGTGCAAATTTCCTTGCAAAGTAAATAGCCTATTTGCCTTTTGTAAATTAACCCCTATGTAACAATGTTGGATTGAGAACTAATTGTATATTTTAGAAAGATCTATTAGATTTAAAATATGTATTATTTATATTATAAAAAATTGTAAAATAATGATTATAAGGTAAAACAATACACAGCGTTTGTATCACTGGTGATAAAGTCTGACATGCTTGTGAGGTCAGGGCCGGCCTTAGGCCTTTAGGCGCCCTGTGCGAGAAAGCTTTACAGCGCCCCTCAGTGACCACACCCCTCAGAGGCCACACCCTTTAGTGACCACACCCATTTTCTCCAATATCCGCACCATTTAAAAAATCCTATTTTGTTAAGCCGCAAAGAAACATATTAAAAAGTATGATAAAAATAAAACTTTTATTCAAAGGTATTAAACGTGTAGGCACATTATAAGTATTCTTATCAAATAAAACAACAGAAGGTAAACAATAAATGTCAAACTACAATAGAGTCTATAAAAATAAAGTGTCAGGATGTCATGCCGACCCTTTTTTCAAGTAAGTGCATCTAGAAAAGTAAAAATAGAAAACAGAACACAAAACCCAGACTACTTGTAAAATGAATGAATTACTATTTGTCCGAATATATGAAAAATATATTCAGGCGCATAATAATTTGTTTGAGAATGTGCGGCGGCCATGTTGGCCACCGGCGTGTTCTGTGAATGCGTGCCACCATCTGGGAGGCAGGGAGCATGACGTTACATGACACCATGCATGCCTGGTGTCAGGTGACGTCACACGCCAATATTGGCCCCACCATCTTGGTGTATACCTAGATATACACCAAGATGGCGGCGCCCAACATGTTCGGTGTTATATGACGTCATTGACCCTGCCTCCAGAACACGCCAATGGCTGAATCCAAAATAGCATAAAAATGTGTTTTGTTTGATGAAACAAATGAAAATAGTTTTCGTTCATTTCATCTGAAATTTATTTTTAGTCTTTGCACATGCCTAATAATAAGTTTGTGTGTGTGTGTGTGTGTGTGTGTGCGAGGTGGCCAGCAGTGAGGGGGAAAGAAGCCGCCCCCAGGACGAGCTGTGTCGGCCTCACAACGCCCTTGTCGCCATGGCGCCCTGTGCGGCCGCACAGCTCGCACACCCGTAAGGCCGGCTCTGTGTGAGGTGATGAGCTGAGTGTTGGGAATACCCAAAATGTTACCTAGAGCTTTGTTCAAATTTCTGGTAAAAGCTAATTAAGCAAACGGATTCTGGGAAGTGCTTTACATAGAGTACTGTTGAAATGGTTTTAGGGAAATCAAATGTAAAATTAGATATTTTTTATTTGGATTATCTTGAGCACCCAGTGGATACTTCCAATGATAGTGAGCAGTATTGGTAGACCCAGAACAGTTTTTGGGTCATACAGTATATCTCTTTAGTCCAGTGCTCCACCAATACCTACTTTTAGCCTAATAAACAAGGGAAAGAGATCCCAGAGTTTTTCCTGCTGGCTAGAAATAATAAGCATGACCCTTTTTTCTCTTGAATAAAATGAGCACAAAAATGCTGTACATTGCCTTTAACTTTTTAGCCATTAAAAAAATCATAGATGGTTACAGATGGAAAAATATTATATTAACCCCTTCATGACGAATGACGTACAGTGCACGGTACAGTGTACGTCGCTGGCATCGGGGCTGTTTAAACTTGTATAGTTGACTGTAGAAGTGATTCTGGCCACTCAGCTGTTGCCAGATCGCTTCTATGGGCCGGTGAAGGGCCCCCCGCCTGACACCAAGCCATGTTTCCTGGGCTCCGTTGCCCATCATATGGGCCCAGGACCAGCTTGCTTGGCATTGGCGGGAAGCTGGGGAGGAGATGGATGAACCTCCGTTCGTCAATTCCCTCCCCATTCTATGGGACCGCTATGGGACAGATTGCATCACTTCTGGTCCCACAGCTGTCAGTGCTGGGCTCCTGAAGCCCAGCTATAAGCTATTGAAGTGCGATCTGCGAGAAGCCCCCCTATGTGAAAGCAATTAAAGTAAAGATGCACCGGCATCTTCTCATAAACACGCGTCGGGTGTGCCTACGTATGAAAATGACGAACGAGCTACACAAGTTGGGTATCGCCGTGCATGTCGGAGTGAGAGCAATAATTCTAGGGCCAATATTTTTGGGTATCTGAATGATCTGTATCTAAACTGATGACCTGTGGGGACTTTTAAATTGTCATCTATGGACTTATTGGGGTACTGAATTTTGTCGCTGTTTCACAGACGTTCACATGTGTAGCTGCCAGGACTTGCTGAGGTCCTGATCTGTGTGTCAGAGCTTCTATTACTAGCTATTTCCATGCTAAGCAGAAGAAACATCTTTGTCTTGTGTTAAGATGTAAGCAAATACTGTTAGCACTGTGCACATTGTAGCAAATTGTGGCTTTGAAAAACTCTTTCCAGTGTATCTTTTTTTACTGCTTACAGAGTTACTGCCACTTTGCCCATTCAGGCACAGTGACAGGATCTGTGTTAAGTCCACCTCCACTACTTTATGCTCACTTCTACAGTATCCCACTGCCTCTCATTCAGCTGTTGCCAACACTGCAAAACACCAATGATTCTGGGTACAGAAAAGCATGTAACCAACTATATTATGATGCAGTTCCTCTGGCCTAGTAGCTAATTTGTGTACTCAGACAATGTCATATAATGGAGGTGGTGAGGTCACCGCTCCCTCTAGACTCTGACACTATTATTTTGGTAGCTGCGACAGAGGAAGGAACAGCAGAGGACTGCTAAAGAAGTGAGCATCAGCGGCAGTCCTTTTCTTCCCAGAACCATGGCAACTATATCCAGATATCTTAGAGTCTTCTACTTACATTAGATGCATAATGATGCCATACAAATGATGATGCATGATGATGCAATACAAATATATAAAATACATTTTAAAAATGAATACCATTGTATCAAAACTACTGCTGACTGTACTGTTGTTACTGTGTTACCATGGACCATGCAGTGACTAATGCTCATGTCACTGAAAAGCATCATCTATTGTCTTTCCTTTTCATACAATTGAATGGAAAATGTGGTTTTGTTTTATTGGTTAAACATTTACAACTGCAGTCTAATTATTTGATTTGTCTTTCATATTTTAGTGTAAATTAGAATATCAAGCCTGCATCATGGGTAAACAAATAACAATGAAATGTGAGGGACATTGCCCATGTTCTTCAAGCAAATCAAGAAATGTAAATAAAAATAAAAAAAGAGGTAAGAATATATGTGTTTTTGTATTTTAATGAAATTAACTTTTGCCAAAATATCAAAAACTGCATAGTTCAAAGCCATGATAATGTACATAATATACTGTACATCAGCTGTACTGAACTGAGGGTCTACAGGCCAAATGTAGATCTCCTGACAGAGCCTCTCTTGGATACACACTGTCCACCTGTGATAAGAATATTCACTGAACAGTTAAAGGGAGCTGAGAAGGTAACATTTTAAACTACCAAAAACTACTTTTAGGAAATTGTGAAAGGTTACCATCCCAGTCAGTTATGTGTTTCATTAGTTCCTGCTTTTCACTGTTTACAGAGCTCCAAATCTCTGGGCTTGTATCCTCCTAGCCTTGCTGTTGTGAATGAGGTGAACTGCTTGATAAAAGCATATGATGATTCTGATTTGAGCATTTCTGGCAATAATTGGACCACTGCTCATCTTCTAAAGATCAACAGTGAGTGTCTTAGGCACTGAGAGGTGTGCATCATCATACATGGATGCTCTCACACTTGAAAAAGTTTATCTGCAAGTGCATCCCTATCTTTCACTGTTCTATGTAGAAATGCAAAAGATCAAAAGTACCATGTATACACCACATGCAATGTCAGTTGAGCATGACAGTGCTTGATCATAGGAAAATAAATACCCATCTATGGCCAGTTCAAATGTAGCAATGCAACACAGCCATTGGGAGAGAACGGGAGACTGCAGTAAGACTTTACAGTCCCTTGAGCGAATTTTAAGGCAGGTGGTCGGTGATTTAAGAGATACCCTAGAATAAGCTTGCATTCCAGGTTTTTTTTTTTTTTTGTAGGACACTTCTGCAGAATATAACAATTTTATGTTGAAAAGCTTGTGGTTGACAATCGTGTTCTTTTCCTATACTATCTATCCTTTATACAAACATTAATATATTTAGCTAACATTTCAATTAAAAATAATGTTTTAAACCGTTAACAACCCTTTTAACAAAATGTTCTACTAATGTCATATACTAAAGTGCTGTGCATAACAACTGCAATCATCTCACTACAATAAGCCATTATAAATATTTCAGAATCACTAGGGATCCAGTCAATATGGCTACAGTTGTCCAAAAGCAGTGCTAGTTCTAGGCAAGCACATCACTGCGCTTAATGTTTCAAAGGTGTGCTCTCTCTGGAACTAGCACCACTTTGACAATTTGGGCAGTAATATCCTCCTGTTAGTAGACCTAAGCTGTGACAAGTATTAACATATTAGTGATCATTCATTGACTTGTTAACTGTTATTAAAAATCTTATAGAAGATGATCATTTTATATTAATTTTTTAAGTTACAATTTTAATGTTAAGTGTATTGGTAATTTTATACTGGAAACCCACATGTTACAATCAATGCAGCCAGACTGTTATAAAAAACAGGCTCTACTTAATAGGGTAGTAAATCGACCCATTTGGGAATAGAGACTGTGCACTTTTATGTTCACTGAGTTTATTGAATACGATAAAGCTTAGTTCCATGAATCAACCAATCATGTGCTACAAAAAAAGTTGTTTTTTTTACATTTCCCTCATGATTGGGTATTCAAAGTAAACACAGGCTTACCTATTTGTTATCATTCACTTTGCCAAGTGAACAGGCTCTACTCTGCAAATCAGCCCCCATCTATCCATCAGGAGCCTGAATAACCAGACAGAAACAAAACTGGTAAGAATATTCCTTGCAGAGTCCATTATTGTTCAGGCTTGCTTTACACTAAACAATGCATGTGGATTGTCCAAAAACATTGAAAATTGTCTGGGAAAGATTGCAGACATACAGATATATCCAATGCTTTTTCCATTCAGGGTGTTTATATTTGTATTTGTTTATAATACAACCATTAATTCATATCAAAGTGAAACACTATATAAAGTAATTTCTATCACAGCTTAAGGTTATATAACAGTTCTTTAAACGGAAAAAAGTCATTTTCTGGAGATGATCAGTTTCTGACAGTTTTATCCCTGAGTTAAAAGAAATGGCTGGAGGGGCCAGATAGAAAGATGTTATAATATGTTACACTTGTGTTACAGATGGTCTTTTGCAACAAGGCTGACTACATGACTGTATTGTTTATTCCTGACAAGAAATAAACCCCAGAAGACATCAATGTAAATTAGTTAGCAACACACAAAGAGGCCCAAAGCAGAAATTAATGTGTCAGCTATGGTGATCCCTCACCTTAATTTGATTATGTTCGTTTAACTCATTCATCCATGTTTCCATCCTAGAGTTTGTTAGCTCATGAGTGCTGACTGCTCTTTGCATTTCAAATTGAATTCCATTGCTAGACTTAAGGTGGCCAACACTTTACAACCATCGCAAGACCTTAGTCTTGCGATGGTTGTAAAGTAATTAAAAAAACGTACGATCTGCCCATCTTGGACAGGCAGATCGTACTTGCGATCATCGCAAGCCCGTCCCGCTGAGGGGCGGGCTTCCGATGACCACAATGCTGAACGGGCATTCGGCATTTGTCTCCCGAGCATACCACAAACCAGCCGAAAATCGTAAGATTTTCGGCTGGTTTTCGAACATGCTCCTTAGACAAAAGACGTGCAGCTGTACAGTAAAAACGGTTGCACGCCTTCCATACACTTTGCGATTATCGTACGATCGCGGGATTTGCCGCGATTATCGTGCAAAAATCGCACAGTGTATGGGCACCTTTACACAGCAGTGGCTGCCTGGTCTTAACAGAGACATATTTATATATATATA